TAATAAAGTTATGAATTTTACTTCATAAATATCCTATATAGTAACTAAAATAACAATTTAATAGTAAAATTTGATTATTTACAATGTTAACATTCATTTTAGTAGAATGGGTAGACTCGCCCCATACGAGAGATTTGTCAGCAGTTCTATAAAAATATACAGTAACAGCGTAACTGTTAATATTTTCTAAAATCGATTTCACAGCTTTAAAGAGGGATAAATAGCGATTCCGAAACTGCTATTAAAAGCTTTTTTTCTTTAACATTTACAAAAGTTTGACCACTTGAAAGTTGACAAACTGAAAAAATGGGTAGACTCGCCCCGGTTTACGGTATGTGAAATGGTAGTAAAAATTGTACTTTATCATTTTATTTTTGACTTCTTAAATTTGATGGTCAATGTTTTTTCCACCACTATCAATAAACAATGTAAACAAGTATCAAAGAGCTGATATTCTTGTAGTGTAGATGTAAGATAATTCTTACTTTAAATATTGTAAGGAGCAAGGGTTTCTGGTTTCGTATGCATTTTGAGGTATAAAACGGATCGCATTGATCATAAACTTCATTTTTTTAGAAGTAGTTAGAATTAATCTGAATTCGCAATTTCTGATTTGATTTGTTATAATATTTGCCAAATAAGTTTAAAACAATTGCTTTTACCAGGTGACGTTTTTAATTACCTAAAAATAATGTAAACAAGTAATGAAAAAAATGTAATGAATTAAAAAAGCACGTAATTTATTTACAAAGTATTTCCGAGTATTTTTAAATAATTTGTAAATATTCATAAATTATATGAATTTTTAATATTTCATTACTTGTTCATCTTTTTTATTATTTTTTTTCTGGGGGGGGGGTATTGAAAACTTTGCTTTTGTTAAATTTGTTTAAAACTTACTTGGCAATGATTGAACTCCTGTTGCACTGATGAAGGTTGCCCTTTGAGCATCCGAAACAGCTGTTTGCATTTTATAAATATTTTTGTGCTCTTTAACGTTGTTTGCCTTAGTTTATATTTTAGCACAAAGCTCGTCCACTTGTGTATTTAATGATTATAACAAATCAAGTGAAAAGTTGTGATTTCACATTAATTCCAACTACTTCTCAAACCGCGGTGGCTCAGGGGTTACAGCATTAGCCTCCCAAAAAGGTGACTAAGATTCAACTCCCAGCGGAGGTGGGTTGATACAAATTCTGCTCCGACCACACTGATGATGTAATATATCCTTGGTGATAGACGGATCATGGGTTAGAATCACCTTGCCGTCGGCGTAATGGTTTCATGTTTTCTTTGTTTCCCTCTCCATGTATCACAAATGTGGGTTTGCGTTTGTTCCATCAAAAAAGTCTTCCACGAAGACTAGTTTGCTCCAATTCTTGATCCAGGTATTCCCTTGTCTTCTGGGTTCGTTTCAAAATTACTCGGCTACAGAGTCGAACACTGAGAGTCTCAAATTCAGAATTAGGTCTACTGTTCAAAGCCGGTTATAAAATATAAAATAAAATGAGTAATCTATAATAATGAAATTAAAGCATTAATGATACGTACCTGAAATAATGATAACTGAAATCTTCATTATTTTTCATTATTCTTTAATAATCTTCAATAATGTGCCAATACTATTATTAAAAACAATAATATTGGCATATTATTGTTTTTTAAAATAACTGACTCTTAAGCATTACAGTGTTAAAATCGTAAAATTAAGAAAAACTACCTGATTTATTTTATTATATGCCGAAATTAAATCGTTTAACCAACTAAAAGAATGGAAAGTTTTTATTCTAGGATAATAGAAAGCTTAATATGTTTATTACTTTCTAAAATTCCAACACTCAATTTCTTCCACTTATGGTATTACTCTCTTTCTGGCAAATATTACAGTACTTACTAGTTTAAAGAATATATATTATCCGTGAAATTGCCATGAATAAAAATATTTCTGTTGGTTTCCGAAAGGCGTGACAGATATGTCTTCAAACAATAGTGTCTGTTCGCCAATCAAATATGAATTGAGAGTTTTTGAAAAGAAGTTAATCCATCATGAATTTGATATGCAAAAAGAATAAACTCAACTACCCTAAACAATAGAAAAATGTTTGGATCCATGCGTGAAATACGTTGAGTAAAAATTTTTCAACGAATAATAAAATAAAGTAAAAATTATTAAAGAAAAACATAGCGGGTATTTTTGAAGGGGAGAAATTTGTTGGGGCAATGATGCGCACTATATTTTTTGTTTCAGGTCTGCCAAAAATTATAATTTGTTCCTTTTAATATGATTTAATAACGTAGTTTTAAAGTTATTATTAAATTTGAACTTGCTGTAATATTATTTTTTTGATATTTTTAAATTTCGTTCTGCCTATTGTGAAAATTAAAAATGGCTGTTTGTTATATTTATTACTTTATCAGGTGCCCATAGTTTACTATTAGATTGTAACTGTTACTTTTTTCTAAAATTTAAAGTATTACTTGCCAACTTGCGCTCATCGCTTTTGAGAAAACTTATAGGGGGTGATAGCAAAACGTATAATTTCATATATGAATCTTAGTAAATTTGATTTTAAGTCGTTTTGGGCAGCATTATGTATGTATAGTTCAAAGGTTTATATAAAACACCATTTTGGTTTTACCATCTTGTGATAAGCGTTTTAAAGTAATGGCAAAATTAACATTTTTTTTTTAAATTTTAGTGTTTAGTTATTATCAATCACTTTTAATTCTGTATAATTTATCACTATTCTGAAAGCAGAGCAATTGGCATCTCTGACATTTAATCAATATGCTTAACGAATTTTTCGCCCAAGGTTACATACGCTGATTATGCAGACTGAAGAGCATTATTTTTAATTAGATCATTATAGTCATTTATCAGTTTCCTATTACAATTATTACTTTGAACTTTCTTCTTAAGTATCGCGAAAAACGTGTGTCTCCATAAGAAAAACCAGAAAATTATTTAATGATTAAAGAACTACTGCATATTATAACAACTCTAGTACCACTTCCAAATTTACCACATTTGTTGTGTCAGCAGAATAACCTTGTTTTTTAAAGTTTATTTAATATTAGAAAAAGTTAATTGGGCTCACAAATGGATTCCAACAGTTCAACTCCGTTGCCTTGAAATTTTGAATCCTTGTAATTGTAACTGTAATTATGACAATTGAACTCCAGGATCAAGTATTGGGAGAAATTTTGCCTTCGTGGGGGACTTTTCAAGGGAACTAATCCTCATTGGCGTTACATAGAGAGAATAACCACAAAATCTCCCACTGTTAGCCTAACGGCAGAGGGAATCCAACCCATGATCTGACTGTACCATTAAGGATATTTTTCGTCAGCACACTGGTCGGTGCGAGCTGGGTGTGGAATTGCTATCGACCAGTTGTCGATGGGATTCGAACCCAGGGCACTTAATAAGAAGGCGAAATCTCTATCTCCTGAGCCACCACGGCACGAAGTATAAATATCGAAATTCCTGTATATCGAAACATTCATGCTAGTAAAGAAATAATGTACTTTTGGAGTTGAAATTATTGTTTTGGGAAAAGTCACCGAAAGAAACATTAATCAGGTACAATATTCGAAAAAAGATTTTGAAAATGCTTAAAATTGCTCTCATTTTAATTAAAATAAAGATAAAAAATCTTCCATAATCTGAATTTTTTATGAGGAAAAAATTGAGAATTGTGATCTTTGGTCAAAAAACGTAAAATGACCCCTTTACCTAGACAAAGACATAACACAGCTATCATTTATATAAGACAAACTTCAATATTTTACAGGGTATTTCAAAACAAAAAGTATCTGATATAGATAGAATTTCAAATTAATATATGACAGTAAGCAATTTCGCTGTCAAGTCGAACTTCTAAAAAGGCAAGTGAAAGTTTTTTATTCATTCTCACCACTCTAAATATACGGAAGTAAAAATAAATCATATTTCCGGTGTGGTTAGGGGCGCTTGAAGCAGAACGCATAACTATCAGCGTCACTCAATAAAATTTATAGCCAAAAATAGAATAACTTATTTTCGAGCAATTTATAGCTAACGATCCCTTAAAATGCAATGGAGGTTATTGTCCGAAACGGATATAAAAAGCTTTTTTGAATTATTTCGAATCAGATTTTTCTCAGAATGACTTTGGCGTTTGTTCAGTTTTGTTTCGGTTTAGTACTGTTTACCATCGCGACAGCTGGACCTATCGGTAAGTTTTGTTTTCATAAAATAGTAAACTTTCTTTTACTGCAAAAGCAAACACTTAAGATTTTGTTTACATTTTACTGAATTGATACCCTATTGGAATTTTGAACTGTAAAGTGCTTATATCCGTAGAAATTAGACATACCTTGTTATGCTTATATAAATTAATTTTCGCCTAACCCTAGAGGTTATCTGCTTCTTCATCTAAAATAATTTGATACTATGGGGGGTGAGATGAATACAAGCTTAAGGTGATAAACTAAACTAACTAAATTACTTTAAAAATCACAATACTGAATTGAGTTAATACTTAATAAAACATAAATATAATTAAAACAAAAAATTACTATTTACAGAAGAAATCTAGAGTAGGAAAGTTAACTATATATCTTAGACTGATACGGAATTTTGTATTTTTTGGAATATAATTTTTCTTTGATTAAACTTATTCATTCAGAAATATTTAAATTAAGTGAGCGGATTATTGTTTAAATCAGGGATGGGCAAACTTTTTTGGTCGAGGGCCAAAAAGCAAAAAAAAAATTTTTGGTGGGCCAAGTAAAAACTTCAAAATTTAAAAAAAAATAAATAAATAAAAAATAAAGCGATATACAAATTTTAATTTAAATATTTAGTGAGATGAAGGAAATTGCGATTTCATTTTTTAAAGTTCCTTATATTAAGGTTCGAAGTAAGATGTGCTTATTTTGAAGAACAAAAGTCTAAATGCTTTTCTGTTAGTCTACTTCTGAAATGATTTTTTCTAAGGCTCATAGTTGAAAACGCTTGCTCACATATATAAGATTAAGCAAACATAGCACCGATTTTCTGGGCATAAAATATTAAATTTTGGAAACTAGCTTTTGGTAATGATTTGTAAAACTTTGGCATATTTAGAAACAACTGCTTCAGATGATTGTTAGATTGCCCGCTCGTTGGAGCGTAAAATGCGCAGTCTGCCAAATATGAAGTACAATTTACCTATATTAGATTCTATATTAGAAAGAAGACAAAAGCTAGTTGGAGCCAATCTACGGCTATTCTATAAAGAACTTCTGCTTTCAACATTTTACCAATTGAAACTGTCTGTGCTAACTATTTCTATCAATTTATGTTTTGTAGAACAAAAATAGAGAAAGTAAAAATGTCATCAGTTCTTTGTTAAAAAAGGAAAAACAGAAATAATTTTAAACATTATCGACAAGAAAATGGATGTATATTGTTTATATTTGCCACTGATCGGCAAATAAAAATTCTATCCGCGGGCCGGTAAAAATCTTCCGGTGGGCCAAAGCTGGCTCGCGGGCCGTAGTTTGCCCATCCGTGGTTTAAATGATAACAAAATAGATCATTGATGCAATGTTCCTGAGAGTTCAGGCGTTATGTTCGAATTGACTTACACACAACCATTAAAGACAACCTTACATACAATCACCTTCAAGAATTCTTCGATAAATATGCCAACAAGCATTTTGTATTTATAAAATTATTATAAAAACAAGAATTTTATATTCTTGAAAAAAAAATTTAGAGGTGAAGAAGCTAATGTCAACATTTTTTATTAGTTTACCAAAATAACGTATTAATCATTATTTTTAACTGATCTGGTATTTTTTAAATTGAAATTTTGAAGTCTGTTTTCTTTTTTAATGTACGTAAGCTAATTTGGATGTATATTTTTTTATAACCTTTTTTTCACAATACAGTTATTTTTATCCTCACTGAGCGTATCATAGAGTTACTGTGTTCAAATCATAAAACTAATTATTTAATTCCATTGTTACTTATGAAAATGTGAGTAAAATGAAAATGAAATTATTTTTGTCCAAAAAATATTGCATGGCATACCTGCCAAATTTTACGATTTTTACGAACAGTATTTTCTTGTGGTAGTCAATTTCATGTTTTAATATATTACTCTGGGTTTAAAACATTTTATTTAAAAATATTTTAACCACCATAATATTTAAAAAAAAAACATATACACTCATGGACAAAAAAAAATTAGCGCACCAAGTAGGAGTCATCAAAATGAAACGAAATTTTACATACGTAATGACTCTTTGATATAAGTAAATGATTAGAAAATCAAAGATTATCGTTTTTCTTTGATTTTCTAATCATTTACTTATATCAAAGTAGTCATTACGTATGTAAAATTTCGTTTCATTTTGACGACTCCTTCTTGGTGCGCTAACTTTTTGTCCATGAGTGTTTAACAACCCTAAATATTTTGCCTAATATATGTGAAAGCGATAAAATTTAAAAAATTGCTAATAACTAAGGCCCGGATTTTTATGACATTTGCATTTTTTTGCATTTTTGGACATTTTTTGTCCTGTAGAGCATTTTTTTAGACTTATAGGGCATTTTTCTTAGAACGTTTTGGCGTATTTTGCATTTTTTAAATTTTTTTGTTAATTTTTTCCAATTTTTATTATTTTTTTTTTCATTTTTTATTATTACACTGGCTTCCAAACAGTGAAGAAAATCTCTAGGATATTAGCAGGTGTAGCAACATCTTTTCAAATTGAAGAAGAATTGTCAGTAAGTGAGACCGTCTTTTTCAAGTACGCACCAATAACATCAGTAGACGTTGAAAGAAGCTTCTCCAGTTATAAAAATTTACTTTCAGACAAGAGACGCTCGTTTACATTTCAAAATATCAAAAAAATTTAATAATCCAATGTAATTCTGATATTTAGTAATATTATGAGATGGAAGTTGTTATATTCATTAAAGTTTCTATACAAAATGAAAATGTTTTGGAGTCAATATATTTTCCTTTTTTTTTGTTGTTATTTTAGGATATAAAACATATTTTTCAAACTTTAATGAACGTAAAAGAAATATTGCATTGCTTTATATTTTTTGAAATGACTCATAATAATTTTAAAGAGTAAAACATTTTTACTTTATTTTTACTTTATCAATATTTTTACTTTATTTAAGTCATGTCATAAGGCATTTTTAGCGCAATTTTCACATTTTTAAGGGCATTTTTCGCACTTTTTAAAGGCATTTTTTGCACTTTTTAAGGGCATTAATTGGGATTTTTTAGGTCATCAAAATCCGGGCTCTACTAATAACCAATGCTTTTACTCTGTTTTCCAACTAACACTATGAAAAATCCTACGCAAAAAGTATGTAATCGTAATGTGTGTAGAGTAAATAATTTCTACACGATTAACAGCGATGCCAACTTGCTCCGCTTTCTAGAAAAAGTTTTTTAGGTGGTTGCAATATATGATTCTTGGTTTATAAAATTTGATTAAAAGCTATTTCGTCCACCACTTAATACAAATGCCCCGTTTGGTGACCGGGGGTATGAATAGTCCCTACGAACGCATGTCTTAGAAGGCGACTAAAATGGACCCAGAACTTGGGGATATAGCCAGGCTGGGCATGAGGCTAACTGTAGTTTGTCTAAAGTAAGAACCCCCCTAGCCATTCATCTGGACCCGTGGCTGTAATTATGGTAACGAGCCATAACTATTTCAATTAGGGGTGTGGGGCTACTGTTTAGGGCAGGTTTTGTCTCGGATTTGTGAGAGAAAGATAGTCTTTTTCTCCGGTGTATTGTGAGGGAAGGGAAGCCACCCTCCCTGAAATGCGCTATTCTTTTTTCTATAGCAGCAGATGGCCTCTGATTTTGTGGCAAGGGGAGTTCTTATTGTAGACAAACTATACCTCTCCCCGGAAAACAAAGCCAGTTCTGAAATCTCCAGAAGCTAAACCCGGACAGAACTTGAATTGTGAGGTATACAATTTTTTACGTCACTTCAAAGTATATTATTTTGCAACGCAAAGTACAAAATTTGAGAGTAATCGGCTGTACAGTTCCTGAGAAATCGAATTTTTAAAATTGTCATATTTTTAAAATTGGATTTCTGAGGAACTGTTCGACCGATACCGAACAAATTTTGTATTTTGCCTTGTAAAATGACGTAAAAAATGTTATACCTTACAATTCATATTATTTTCAACCAGTATTATATAAAATAATAAGAAAGAATAAATATTTACTAAAAGTTCTATTTAGTAGTTAGTTCTATCTGGAATTATCTTCGGATAAACGAATTTAATAGTTACATAGATAATGCGGAAAGAGATATTCCACAGCCCCTCGGAGGAAATAAGTAACAGAGAAAATTATTTGATTCCAGTAAAATGTGAATGCCATTAGTAGCCATCAAACAACAGCATCATCCAAGAATACAGTAAATCTTTATTTTGATAAGATGAATTACTAAAAAAGCGTTATGTTTGAAATAATATAAAACCACTGGGAATCATAACAAAAATAATAAATTAAAAAAATTGAATAATTTAATTTTATTTATTGCGTTAGTTTGCCAGTTTTGCGCATAATTTCGTAGTGTTGTCGTATCGTTCACCAAACGATCTGTAGCGCAGAAGTAGCGGGTTTGTATCCCACCGTAACGCTGGATGTATCTTTTTGATGACCTTCTCTAATTTGTGCTGTTTTACAACTTAACAAGGACAGGTCTTTGTAAAAATTTGGCCAACTGATAGTTTAAAGAATGGGAAAGATTGCTGTCGCCGCTATAATATAAATTTTCAATTAGATCGTTCAGGAGAGACATTTGAAAAAAAGAATTTTTTCATTGGCATATGATCATTCATTGAATAAAAATTAAACTCTTTCATGCGATTCGGTTTGTTTTCTTTTTTTAAAAGATGACATCACTGATTTTTGCAGTCTTATAGCTGTCAGTGTCAGGAGTTTATTGCCCACGTTCTCTAATATTTAATTATTTTTTACTCGTTATGTCAGATAAACTTAGTAATCAAATACGAACGTGGTGGAAACGTGACTAACAACCTTATCAAATTAGTATTACTAATAGCTATTTTAATTATAGTTAATTTTGTTTATAATTATACTTTAAAGGCATGTCTAAAAAACTAAATAGTTCAAAAGTAAGGGTAAATTAAGGGAAAAATAGTATTGATTCGCTTAAGAGAAACATAAAATATCGCCATTTAATTATTGACGCCAATGATGCTTGATTAATTTTGTTAATAAGAAGTATTTAAAATAAAAAATAAGCTATGTACTAAATGTAAAAATTAATGACGATATGGTACTAGTAGTTCGTTTTGGGGAAACGTAAAAAATTGCTTTATAATTATATTTATATTGACTGATTGCACTATAACTATATAGTAGTTACTTGATTACATTATAATTATATTGCATTCTAATTAACCGTTAATTTTTTTAAAGACCATCGTTGAACAGCCGATCTAATTTTATAGGTTTACTACTACTAATGTTCAACTCCGAAGCCTTGTAATTTTGAACCAAATCCAGAAGACAAGGAAACTCCTGGATCAAGTAATAGAAGAAATTTACCTTCGTGGAGGACTTTTTCATAGAACTAACCGCATTTGCGTTAAATGGGGATTAAAACCCTGAAAACCTCCCACGGTTAGCCTGATGGCAAGGGAATTTTAACGCATTATCCGTCTACCACTGAGGATATTTTACGTCAGCACTGTGGTCGGTGCAAACCGGATGCGGAATTCGTATCAACTGAGATTCGAACCCGGTTTGCCTCATTAGAAGACGAACGCTCTATCCCCTGAGCTTGATAATCATCTGTCCACAGCTGGTATTCGAATCTGGGTCACTTCATTGGCAGGCGAACACTCTATTGCCTGAGCCACAGTGGACTCAAAACATTCTGACTGAAATAAGGAAAATAAGCTATTGTACCAAAAACCAAAGGAAATTGAGAAATGATACTATTTCATATAAGAAAAGTGTTAAAAACTATAATTGATGCTAATAATCCTTAATTAATTTTAGTATAAGGTACTAATTGAAACTACAACAAAAAAAACTACGTGCATGATCTCTGTGCATAATCTCGTAGTTCTGTACAGAAATGATTACGATGTATAATTTTTTTATTACATACAAAGAACGAGTATTCAGCTAGTGAACAAATAAAGAAAATTTTTAAAAAAATTCTAAGTTTTATTGTAAAAGGATTGAGCAGGAAAAGAAATTGATTGTTTAAAAATTACTAAAACATTTAAAACAATGACCTGGTACCCTTTTAGCAACGTAATACATGTGTACAGCATTTCTAAAGTTGGTTTCCACCAACGCTTAATTTTTCATACAATTAAAATTGGAAATCTGCTCCTTAAGCTCATCTTCAGAGGAATCTTAGGCTGGCCAAACTTTACATATTTGTAAATAATATCTTTTCATTTGCACTTGGTGTTTCATGTGTCTTTGTTTCTGCTTTTGACCATCAACACACCACAAAGCCTCAGACCTACAGCAATTATTTAGCTTTATCATATAGTCTATACATACACGATACATTAAAAACAAATTAAAATGTTAATATTTTATAATATAGTCTCTAGTAGAAAAAAAAATGTCCAAATTTAGCCTATTTTTCAGTTATCTTAATAAAAACTTTTTTTTTTTATTTCCAAAGGCAGATTTACAGTAACAGCATACATAAACATCTAAAAATAAGAACAGAAACAAAAGATGCTGCAACAGAGTCTATTAATCACAACATGTCTCTCGCTTCCCAATAGCGATCAGTGATAGAATTCCTGCAAAGTGCAGAGCAGCGGAGAAGGTGCGTGAAGTCCATGTCCTCACCAGAACTGCAAGGAGTGCATACCGGGGAAGGAACGATACCAAATCTAGACAGACGTTTCCGCAGACAGTCATGACCGGTGGCCAAGCGGAATTCAGCCACCGCTCTTCGTCTTGGGCCATTTCGCAAATTTAGGATGGTAGCCCTCCAAGACTTAGTAGAAGTACGGTCGATAAGTTCTTTATGAGCACAGGTCTTAACCCCTTGGAAACGGGAGATTCAGAAAAGCATTCGTACAAAATCAGAATCAAGTTGTAATTAAATAAAAAACGGTAACTTAAATGTAGTCGTTGCTAATTTGACAGACTTACTTTGCTTTTACTTTAATTATTGTTAGTTTAATCATATATATAATCAATGTTAATTCAAAGTATAACTAAATAGTTTTATTTTGAACAAAGTAATGGTGAATTAAATAAATCAAACAATTATAACTCCGCCCACAAATAAACTGCTAAAGAAATACTTCGATTACCAGTTTTATCTTTTTACCCTGATTGATACGGTTTTATGCTAGCACGTATTTGTGACAGTCGGCCCGAAAGGGTTAAAGGTCCTCTTAATAAGCTGTTTGATGGAACAGAGGGGCATAATATGAGCGGAAATCTGAATAATTATTAATAAAAACTTGGTCACTATAAATTAAAAGTATTTCCACTGATGTAACAACATTTATTTTGTATTTTAGGTCCAACTGCAAAACCTGAGGAGATATACTACCCGAGACCTTATGACTTTGGATATCAAATGGATAACGGTAACGGCACTATGTTGCATCGACAAGAAACAGCTGATGAAGATGGATCAGTGAAGGGATCTTATGGATATGTTGACGGCAACGGTTACTGGAGAACTGTGGAATACAACGCTGGTAAAAATGGCTACCATGCCAAGGTGTCTTCCAATGAACCAGGTGTCATTAGTCAAAATAGTGCTGATGCTGTTTTTCTTGTGAAGCTTGGTCAACCGTAATGTGCTATTTGGATGTCATTTCAGTCAAGTTGGAGATTTCTATGAAGATGAACTAAGATAAACTGAATTTTTTATTCTTTTTGTAAACAAGTCATATCGAGAAACTTTGTGGCCAAAAATATTTTTTACTGATTAAACTCATCGTTTTTTTTTAAAAAAATTGGAATCTTTTTTTTATACTTTGAAACAAACAAATATCATAACTGCCAATTTGTATAGTTGTTGAGAAAGCTATTTCTTAGATGAAACATTTATGTTTTGAAGTATAAATCTTGATTTTATTTCAATTTTCTTTTTTAATTTACTTACCATGAAATACTGATATGCTAAGTCATATCAGTATTTCAAACATATGTCTATAGGATTGATCAGCAAGACAATCACGTTTCTCAGTGTTATTCTTCAAAGGATTTTAATTAAAAAAAATTAAAAACAAACTTCCTACTGAAAATATTATTTTACTACCATTTAGTAAAAATTTTCCAAGCGTCCGTACAAGTTGGCAGGTACGAAGCGCATATTAAAATATAATCCTAATGGTTTTCAAGGCACATTTTAAATATGTTAAATAAATAGTGATACTCATAAATTACGATACGGAATAAAACACGTAAAACTTACTTTTGCTGAACATTAAACATACCTCTTTTTTGACTTTTATTCTGAATATATATAAAATGCTATCCCATATAAAAAGCTGTTACAGATAAAAGAGATTACAATAGTTTAGTCTCAATAGTTTAATCATCATCTCCTACATCAGAAAACCTCCCCACGGTTTATTAAAATTGTCTATGCAAACTATTTAAAAAGTGAATCATGAACTGAACATCTATTATTAAAAATACCAGAAAGCATTTCATCTTACTTTAATATTTATATATATTTGATAAATTAATATGCAGTTGTTAAAAACGAAGAAAAACAAACTAATCATATCTATAAATTATACAGATATTAAAACATATATTTGGTACTACTATCTTGTTTTTACAAGACTTTGCATTAAATAGCAATTTTGTAAACTGGCTTACTTGTTTAGAGGTCTGATCAAACTATCTTTAAGAAACCGTGTAGAGGATTTCTTAATAGTAGGTATGGTTTAATCGCCATAATGCAATGTTGTTGGTAGTCTGAAGAAGATAATGAACTTCTAGTATAAGAACTTCATTTACAGCTTGTTTAAGCTGATTACCAAAACTTATTAGAAGTCATTTTCTGACAAAAGAATGGTATATACCATAAGACTTGGTAGCAAGAGTCTTTCTTTCACACGAAAATAATCTAGTTATGAAATGGTTTTACTGAAACTTTTTCTGTTTACAGGAATACTGTTAAGGACATTTTTACTTTTAGCGTTTTTATTATGTTTCCAAAATTAAATTGTAAACAGAATGTGCAAGTAAATTCATCACCGAAAATCGAACCTCTGTCGCTATTTTATAAGTAATAAGTTTTCCTTTTTAATTATGTCGTTCATCAAAACATTGCTTTCTTAAATTATTAATGTTTAACGACCAAAAATAAAAGTAAAAAATATAAATGCAGCACACTTCTTAAACATGTAAATTATTTTTTTTTTGTGTGTGTATCATTAATAACACACTGGAATTTCCTCGAATTTTCCAAATAGATGTATGCAAAAACTTTGCTCTGGGAATTTCTCCAACTTAACTTGATCTTAATACATGTGGGTTTTCCAAATATTTCTTCTTATATATATATAGAAAATCAATCGAGATGAATTTCACATCTTGCAACTTTAGTTTTCTGTCGTTAATTCATCATGAATACCTCCGTTACATTTTTCATAATTATTCGATTGGTATTTATTTACTTCTTAATGGTTGACGCTCACCCCATTACGAAGCAGACTGCTGTTGAAGTTATTACCAATATTTGACTATTAAAATAGCAGAATCGTTGTGCGACTCGTCACCTGGAAATAATACATCTAAGAAATATCTAGTGTTGCCTGTGGTCTGCCCAGATGTGGTAATTAATCCTTCTATCCCGGAATCCAGCATCGAAGTTCAAAGTGGATTAAAAAGCGATAATGATGACGGTTTGCGTGATGGTTGCACTGAAGCATGGCAGGATAATGTTGATGAGTATCGCATTCCAAACGTGATCAAAACAGTAAAATGTTCCACCGCATCGAAGGATGGTTTTTGGTATTGTGACGCTGTAAAATATTTCATACCTGTACTGTATAAGAAAAACATGGAATTTTCTACAACTGATTACAAAGAAGACTGGAAATTAGTTACGGTTGCTTGCCTTAACCAAACGACGCAAATTGCCGGCAAGTAAACATTTTGCAGCTACTACAACTTCTGCCACTCTGATCAAGCTTCAATATTCGAACTTATCACCTTTGTTTAAAAATTGCAAAACTATTATTCAGAGATTTATATCTTTGCCAGCTAAATAAGGATAGCTTTCTCGAAGATAAAAGGCAGCTTCATCTATTCCAATACGCCATTCTTATCAATTTATATGCCTGTCTAACCACTAATGCCAGCTTGTCTTAAATCTTTTACAATATCAGCTTCATTTGAAAGAAGACATCTTTTATTATAAGAAGAATGTGCTTACTCATTAGAATTAATTCATTATTGAATTATGGGTAAGCAGTTAAAATTTTTGCTTCTGCAACGAACAAATTACTTTATTAAACTATTCTAAAACCTTCTATATGTTGCTATCTACTGATAAATTCTGTAAAAATATCTGTGCATCATAAGATTTTTTAATAACTAATCATTATATGTAAAAAAAAACTGCTTTTAATTATTTTTATCACTTATATCCTACATAATTTACATTCTTCAGTGTAACTTATCTTAAAAAGTTTTTCATTTGCTCAAAATCACATAACGTTTTCATATTTTAGAAGCCCTTTTTTATTCAAAATTCAACCTTTTGCTTTCTCCTGGGTTCTGAAACTTAAAATTTCGATATCTTAATAATTAATAACCATATTATTTTAATAACCATAACCATATCATAAAGAATTTTCGAAATTATATAAAAATATTGCAGTTTGAACTATTTCGTATTTATATTTGCTCAAAAAGCATACTTGAGTACTTGGAGTGCAAACATTTAATTTCGAAAATAAACTTCTTTTAGGGAGTATTTTCCATGACACCAGAAACGTGTGTGTTCAATTAGTTTTAAAAAAACTAAATCGAAAGTCATTATTTATGGAATTATGGGTACAAAGTTGAATACTTTCCATATACTGACTGAAATGTGAAATGATTAACTAATAAATCAATCTAAAACGTTCTATAAACTAACACATAGATAAAATTTGTAAAAATGTTTTATAATTAGCCATAAGACATTTTATAACTAGGCATCATAAAAACATCTGACGAGCTTTATAAGCTGTATATACAATATAAATATATTATTCATTTTAACTTATCTTAAATATTTTTTCAGCAGTTCGAGATCTGGTAATGTTTTTATTTTAACCCCTTTGAAAGCCGTGGTAAGTATACTTACCACCACGTTTTACCACTTTTAATTTAGGTTTCCATTTTTCAATAACTTCAGCTTTCTTGAAGTGACTTTGAAAAAAATTGGTAACAATTTGTCACTTTTAAAAAACGTATAAAAGTTATAAAATACATAATTCCTTTTGAAGTTTGTAGCATTTAAGAAATTTATTTTATAAATAAAGAAAAATAAAAGTCAGTAAGTTCTTAATAGGTCATGTTAAATATATTTACCACCAAAAAAATGGCATTTTTATGAACTAAATGAGCTTTTTTTTTATATCAATTACTGTTCTTAAAACAATTTCAATTCCAAAAGTACTTTAATTTACCTTTACTAGAAATGAAGGGCCCGTTAAAGGGTTAAAAGGGTTTTTGTATTCGAAATTTGTAAATTCAAAAATAAACTTTCTTTTGAGAGCTTGTTTTAATAGAGAAACATGAGTGAAAGTAACTTCAAAGAAAACATCTCTGAAAATAATTCATGATAGAATTAACGATAAGATGTTAAATGCTTTACTCAATATACTAAATAAATACTTTATGAAGCAATCTAAAATGTTCTATAAATTGCCACCTTACTGATATTTTTTGAAACATTTTTACTCCATAAGATAATTTATAATTCTACATTATAAAAACGTGCTTACTATTAATTTTATAAATTGTTTGTTAAATATAAATTTATTTTTCCTTGTATCTTAAATTTTTTTAAAAATTTCAGCAGGTCAAAGTTTTATTATATTGTGTAATCAAAGAAGGATATTTTAAAAAAATTTATCAAAATAGATTTGCTTTGGAATAAACTACGCAGAACACAACGTAAAGTAACACGAATAGAAATAGTGAACACGTTGAATGCCACGGTCATTTTACATGGCTTGCCCGTCTGGCCAAACGGTAAATAACTTCAAACTGTATTTGCAAATATTAGACAGATTTTTGCTAGTTATTGAAGAGGTTTAGCTGACATTAAAGAAAAAACTTGTGAATTGCATAAGCCTACGAATTGTTTAGTAATAGTGGTGGATAAAAATCTACTAAATTGAATTTATTAAACCGAGAATCACAATTGATAAACTACCACTTGAAAATATTTATTCGCTGTCCGGAGCATGTTGGCATCTCTGTGTATATTAATAAAACTATTTTTGTGTGTTCTATATTGCATTAATTTCTTCAAATCATTTTAGTAACGATATATGATTATTTTAGTAACGATATGAACGATATTATTATAATAATATTTTTTAAAAAAATTACAAATTTACTCGAATTATGTGTTTCTAATAATCTTGGCTTCACCGGTCACCGGTGACCCTCGTGATACTACGAACAAACCGGTCAACGGTAACCCCCATGGTATTCAACGTGTTAAAGCAATGCATATGTTTCGATACTATAAAGAAGCATCTCTAACATACACAGCATCACTATAATCAAGCATTAGTTTCAAATCATAGAAAATTACAAAATTTGGTTCGAATGCAAATCTTTCTTTTTCTTTTGAGCATGATACTTAAACAGGGTTCCCACGATCAGGAAAAAATAAATGAGTGGTAGCTAAGATTTTTTCGAGACTACTAAAATGTGCTTAAATTTTTCTTTCATTTATGAAATAATAATATTTATCGCAAATTAAATATTATTTGGTAGCTTAAAATATCTAAATTTATCTAACTTTGTTTACCACTTTTAAAAAATTTTCCAGATCGTGAAAATCCTGTCATAGTATTACTACAAATATCTAAAGAGACACACGCATTAAACTATTTTTATTTATACTTCTTTCTTTTAAATTTTACAAAAATTTTAAAGCAAAATTAAATAAAAGGCTTTATGTATTCTCTGAATATAAATTTAAGTAAAATAATCGAAATATGCATTTGATATTTTATGCAGTAGTATTTAACCGCTTTCCTAACCAATTAAAAAAAACTGCAAAAAATCGTCATGTTTTTTTATTTTTTTATTATTCTGTTATTAAATATAAAGAACTGAAACAAAACATATTTTTCAGGCTTGATTCCGTTTCTATTCTTGCCAATCTTTCGGATTTTCCAGATGATTTTATTTTTTTGTTTAACTTGTTTTTTTGTTTTTATTTTTTTGTTTTTTTTTATTCTTTTATTTTTTTGTTACGGTAGAAATAGTTTGCATTTATGTTTATTATTGTTTTGACAAATTTAATTTAATATATGTATACATATATAGATAGATAGATATAGATATAGATAGATAGATATATATATATAGANTTGTTTAATACGGTAGAAATAGTTTGCATTTATGTTTATTATTGTTTTGACAAATTTAATTTAATATATGT